GCATTGTTTGATTGTATTCCTTGTGTTGTTAGGATTGAGGCAAGAGGACCAAGTGGAGTGACCAACCTTTGTAGTTGTGTTCAATTGAGGAAAGGAAAGCTTTGAGGAAAGTTCAAGAGCAAGGTAAACCTTTGGACCTTGGGGTTGATCCCCTTGAATGTTCCACCATACTCCGTTGCGGAGAAATGGTTTATGAGATGTGATATGTAATTATGATAGTGATTGTATGCTCATGCATTGAAAATTAGTATGATTGCTTAATGATAATTGATTGAGGTTTGACTGTTTAAGAGTAATTGAGGAATGGTTGATAGATGTAAATATTGATTGAGGTATTAATTGATAGAACTATGATGAGGATGATTGGTAGGAACTTCCCTTGGAAACAACGCTATGTGAATCTCCATGTGGTTAGAGCTCAAGAGAAACAGCCCTATGCGGATCTCTCTTGGAGGTTCCTGGATTGAGGTAAGGACTTCCCTTGGAAACAGCCCTATGTGGATCTCCATGTGGTAAGAGCCTAAGAGAAACAGCCCTTCGTGGATCTCTCTTGGAAGTCCAAGTGATGTTATGGATAGGAATGTGTTAAGCTGTTATAATTATGTGTACATCGAAAGTGAACCTTAGGGTGGAGTGATCTCCGAGGACCCCTGGTTTACTGTGATATATTCGTATATCTCACCCTGTGTTGTGGGGCATCATTTCAGGTATTGATAAAGGTGAGGTTGATCGAGGCAAGAAGCAGGAGTAGATTGTACCTGATAGCGGGACATTTTGAGTTGCATGCCATTTAGAATTGCTATATGTATATATTGATGCCACATGATGTATTTTAGAGGACTTAGGGCATGATCATTGTAGTCGTAATTGGTATCTAGTAAATGGTTACTTGCTTTGATCATGTTCCTTTTGTAGCTAAGTCCTTTGGCATGTATATGAAATTTGTAAGAACAATGATGTAATTAAGACCTGATGATGTTGTACAGTTGTAATTAATTGAGATATATGTATGATGAAATGGTATGCATGCTTCTCTTAGTATATGAGTACCTTGAAAGATTAGAATTCACGTATTGGAAGGATTAAATGATGTCAAATAGGTAAAAGAGGACCTTTGGTTGAAAATCCAAGTAAAAGTAAAAACACCCTGTCTTGTTGTCCATTTTTCGTATCCTATATGATAGATTCGGACCCTTGTGTCTCTATGGAAGTTGTAGACATTTTTCTTAGCTTTCCATAGAGACCAAGATTGTGTAATTTGGGTGAGTATAACTCAAGTTATGGGGAGAACATTATAGGAAGGTCAAATTACCCTGTTTTGACACCCAGCCCCTGTTGTGTGGCGCTATGGGCGCTAGTCACCAAAAAGTGGCAGTAAGGTTGGCGCTAAGGGCCCCACGGTGGCGCTAGGAGCGCCGCCCTCCCTGTGTTTTGCACATCAGTGGCGCTGATAGCGTGGGACTGGCGCTATCAGCGCGGAGGGTTCTGATGGTTCAGCACCTGTTTTCATAGAAAATGCGCAACTTGAGCTACGGGGCTCTGATTTGAGCGCGGTTTGAACCCTCGCGTAGCTAATAAAGAATCCTGTAATATTTTGGGAAAATGGAGACCATAAAAGTAGTATAGGAATTTCTTAAATAAATAAAGAGTAGATATGTTTCATGTTTAAGAACAATGAAAACGAGTTTTAAGCTTGGATGGTCTAAATGAGACTTACAATAAGAGGTCTACCTATAATTTAAGTTATGATCTCATTTATGGGAATCGTTTTAAGTACGGAATAGATTTTAAACAAAAGCGTTTATAAATAAAAAGCAAAAAGTTTATCCGTGTTTTAATTCAATCTTGTGATTGTAACTGCGCTTAATGCCGTACATAATGATAACAAACCGGTTCTAGAATGGGGTGTTACACTTTGGTCATAGGATTGGTACTGATTTTGTAATCATTTCCCTTTCTAGAATTTTACCCCACTTTTATAGTTTTATTGCTCATAACATTGCTTCATGTCTGTTCCACTCCTCCAGGAACATTAATATCAGAGAGAACTCAGATTTGGCTTTAATAGTTAGTAGACTTGATTTGTAGCATTGTTTCGTAACAAATTCATCTTGAAGGTTGAGGCCCCCTTCAATGTAATTAATTTAGGTTGGATAGAAATTCTCATTCAAATCAATGCAAATGATCCGTTACTGGTGGTAAAGTTACATTTGTATTATGTACTTCCAAAGCACTCGGGTTACTTACTAGGCATCTATCCTAACTATGAGTTGGCTTTGCTTCTTTGGAATAGGCCTAATGTCATTTTTGAGGAACAACAGTATTCCCTCTTTTTTGTTTCGAGGGTTTAGGATAAATAGGAATACATTGCCTTGTGGAGGATGTATGCTATTTCTGCAAGGCACTAGCAGATTTGGCTTGAGCATAGTGGAAGAATATCTCATTATTTTGACAATTGGAGTTCTTATAAAGAAGAATTGCTTTCTTGTCTCCTTTGTCTGAGTTTCAACTTGTGGCTTCTTTAAGCAGGTTTCTATTATGGATTTGCCACATGCATTGGACAGTTATTTTAATTTTCTATTTTATCTTTTTGTGAAGTTAACTTTCGCTTTTATCTTTTCGGGCTGTGCTTTGGCTCTTTTATGATGATTATTTGCCCTTTTTTTTTGTATTTTTTTTCCCCTTTTAGTCAATTCTTCTTTTATCACAAGGAATATAAGAATGCACCTGATTGAGCATTTTGATAGGTTTGAAAGCTTATTATAAGTGTTTATCATTGATATTGATATAGCTTCTAATGATTGACTTGATTTTACCTTAAAACTTTTACTGGAATAGTGCTTGTAACTCGTATTAAGTTGTTCAAGCTGGTGCGGTCCATCATCTATTTAATTGTAATTAATTGGCGCAGAGTTGAAGCACTAATCAAGGCAGCTGGTCCCGCTTGGACTAATAGTTTATCTGACCTCATTAAGTGTGTAGAAAGATTTGAGGAGAAAGTGAATGCTTCTGCTAAAGATGAGGTATCTAATATGAGATTATGTGTTTGATATAATGGCTTTCTTATTGTGAAATACTTTATCTTTCTCGTATATTTTTCAATTCAGAGACTATATTTGTTTTTGTTAAGTACATATTTCAAGAATTCACTCTCAAATAGATAACTTCTTCATGCTGACTATTAAATCACATATTTTTTGGCTTGATTCAAACTTTTCAATTGGCCTTTACTTGCTATTATTTTACCCTTTCTTTCATATTGGTCCCACTTTTGAGCCTAACTTCATATTATTCTCATGATAAAAACTTGATTATGTAAAACACTCAATTTGTAGCATAATCTCGATTATCCTCAATATATATATATATATATATATATATATATATATATATATATATATTAATTCTATGAATTTTTAAGTTCTTATATCAATAAATTTCAACAAATTTTGTATTCTACTTCCATGTATGAAGAACTTTTTTTGAAAATGGGAAAAAAGTGTATCCTTTTTTTAAAGGACACAACTTATCTTTTTAGTAATTTTTCACTGGTAAGACATAGTTATATTACAAAAAGTTGCTTTTTTTCTTTTTCCTCAATCACATCAACTGACATGGAAAATGAAAGAAAAAAGCTTTTTATATTATAACTATGTCTTACTGGTGAGATACAAGAGAGAGTTGCGTCGTTTAAAATTACAAATGTTAAACCTTTTGAAAATAGTAATGGTTTACGTACTACATTTATTTACAGGGTGAGTACATTGATGTGATATCAGCTAAGTTAAAGAAATTATCTGCACTACCTCAGACTGCTGGATCCAAATCTTCTGGCTCTGGCGAAGTCACCTCTGCTCAAGGTATTGTGATGGGTTAAACATCTTTTCTAAAATGATTCCATGGAAACGTTTCTAACTTTAAACGTTCTGTATTTACTGTGAAGAAGAATTTAGAGTTTCCTGCTTCTTCCTATATAATGCCATGATTTTTCTTTTTTTTATTTTTATTTTTTGTGGAAAGGGAGAAGGGGGTGGGGGGGGGGGGGGTGTTTTTATCATCACAACCCCAGCGTAATTTCAAAATTAAACTTCCATCTTTTATTTTGAAAGTTTTTGGGATAGAAACCTCAAGCCACGTTAATGGCAATTTGAACAATAAAAGCTGGTTTGAAACCATACAAATAATCTTAAAACAACTTTATCTTTTAAATTCTGATTGAGGATCTAAACTCAGATGAGCCTTATTTTAGTAGGAAACAGTTTCAGTATAATTGGACAATAACAAACCATGAGGTCCTAAATATATCTACGTTGTTGTATCCGGGAGGTGAGGACACCCAATGCAACACAACATATCTACAGTAAAAGAAATTAAAATGTAACTTGAATTGCACTGTTTATTATGTCAGATTAGAAGATTGAGTAACCAAGGAAAAAAAGAGAGGGACGTTGCATTTGACAAAACAGATGGCTTTAGTCTTCTTACAGATGGTGTAGCATAGCAGAATTGATAGAAACTGACAAAAAATGAGAGAAAGAGAAAGAAAAAACTGAGAGAGAGAGACAGAGAGGAACTCTGAATATACTGATGTTATTCAATCTGATTTCTCTGTTACAAAGAGGATCTATATATAGAGCTACAGAAGCTTGTGCTACAAGTTAGAGGTTCTTGAGCTGTTATAACAGCTTAACAGAATGCCAGCTAACCTAACTGCCTAACTGAACTAATACTGAGTAACAATAGTTACTCTAAGCCCAGCAACAATTAGGCACTGTATTTACTCCTTTCAAGTTGGCATCAGAGTTCTCGATCTGGGAACCTTTTGCTTTTGCAGCCACCGCCTTTAGCGTGGATCTTTCTTTATGCCTTTAGTGCATCCAAGTCACCCCCTTTAGTGCTGATCCTCTTATGCAGCTTTCGTACCTGTGCAATATCTACGCTTCATACATCAATGGAGGGAAATGCAAATTATAGGATTCAAGCTAGGTGGATGAAATGGTGGAATGCTTCAGTAAGATAGTTTGGACATGTAAGACCACCGATGGAGGCTCTTGTTAGAAGAGTTGATCAAATGGAGGATAGCCAAACAATTAGAGGTTTTGTAGACCAAAAATGACTAGTGAAACCTTTAAAAAGGATCTAAAATTAAATAGCCTTGCTAAAGAATTGGTTTGTATATAACACAATGACATGGTTTGATTCATGTAGTCGACCCAAAAGGCTTTGGTTGTTGTATTTTTTCATCAATCAGTTTATTGACTTATTTTGCACTAGGAAGGATAAGATACTTATTGAAAGATGTAAAACAAAGAGTTTTTTGAATTGATACATTTGATTTACACTGATAGAGGTATTTATACAAGAGTAAATGAGAGAGAAAAAAATGGATAAGAATGACTCAGAAATGAGTCATCAGCCCTATCCTGTAAAAGCAAATTCAAAATTCAAAATCTTATTAAAGGAAAAAATCAATCACAAATAAAAGTGGAAAGATCCTAATCCTGATTTTCTACAATCCCCCTCAAGTTGGGAGGTAAATGTTGATCATTCCCAACTTGTCAATCAGGTCTTCAAAGGCTAGCTGTTGTATGCCCTTAGTGAGGATATCGGCAGTCTGCTTTTTAGTAGGAATATATATCATACACACTTCTGTCATCTAATTTTTCTTTGATAAAATGGCGATCAACCTCCACATGTTTTGTTCTGTCATGGTGAACTGGATTTTGAGTAATACTGACAGCAGCCTTATTATCACAATACACTATGACAGGTAGGCAAAAAGAAGTCTTCAATTCCTTAAGGAGTCTTCTTAACCAAATTCCTTCACAAATACCGTGGGCTAGAGCCTTATAGTCAACAAATGTTTGTTTCTTAATTCTCCAGGTCACAAGATTTCCCCAGACATAGGTACAATATCCTGAAGTGGATCTTCGGTCCAATGCAGGGCCAGCCCAATCTGCATCTTTATATAATTCAAGGATCCTCTTGTGTTCCCTTTTAAAGAACAATCCTTAACCAGGTGTGTTTTTGAGGTACTTGAGAATTCTATAAACTGCACTTAGGTGTTTTTCCTTAGGAGAATGAATGAATTGACTAACCATGCTAACTGCAAATGCAATATCAGGCCAAGTGTGAGATAATTAGATCAACTTCCCCACCAATCTTTGATACTTCTCTTTGTCAACTTCTTTCCCATCTTCAATTCCCAATTTAATATTGGGTTCAACTGGAGTCTCTGCTGGTCTGCACCCAAGCATTCTTGTTTCTTGTAACAGGTCTAGAATATATTTCTTCTGAGTTAAAGAAATCCCTTCCTTGCTTCGAGCAACCTCCATGCCTAAGAAATATTTGAGAGATCCAAGATCTTTCAGTTCAAACTGATCAGGTAAACACTTCTTCAAAAAGCTTATCTCCTTACAATCATTACTTGTGACAATTATGTCATTAACATAAACAATGAGAATAGAAATTTTACCACCATTAGAGTTGTTGAAATATATAAAATCTTAATGTAGCCTCACCCAACAGTTTAAGCTTTTGGGTTGAATTGATTCTTTACGTGGTATCAAAGCCTTGTGTCCCGGGTTCGATCATCACTGCCCCCTACTTTCTCTTGTGGAATTTTCTTAACACAGGTAGGTGGGCCTGTGCATTATCCACCCTCCAAGCTCAGTGGGCTCTCGTGTGAGGGGGCGGGTTAGAGTATAATATAAACCATTAAAGAGGCCTTCACCTAACAGCTTAAGTTTTTGGGTTGAATTGGTTCTTTACATCTTTACAAGATTGTTTTAAAAATAAAGTGTGATCAGTTTGAGCTTGGAGGAATCCTCTTCCCTTAACAGCTTGAGTAAACTTCTCAAACCACTCTCTAGGGGATTGTTTAAGACCATAGAGAGACTTCTTCAACTTGCATGCTGAACTGTCTCCTTTTTCAAAACCACGTGGTGGATCCATATAAACTTCTTCTTGTAAATCACCATTCAAGAAGGAATTCTTTATATCTAATTGTTGCAAGGGCCAATCAAGATTGGCAGCAAGTGATAGAAGAACTCAGATAGTGTTAAGCTTGGCAACATGGGCAATGTCTCCTAATAGTCTATCCTATGAGTCTGAGTGAATCCTTTAGCAACCAATCTAGCTTTATACTTGTTGATACTTTTTTGGTATTTTTGTAATGTCTAACATAGTGTTGAAAGCAAGAAAAACCGGGGACAACTTTTTATACATGATATGATGAGAAATAAGATGAGTTGTACAAGATCTAGTACCTTTTTGGAGAGCAATAGGCACATCTAGGTTGGCTGTATCAGTGTTGCAAACTTTCCCCATTTACCAGGAGGATCTCTTCTCTGGCACAGTAGCTCCCCCTGTCTTTTGTACAAAGGCTCCTCCTGTCTCCAACGGCAAAGGCAAAGCAACAGAATCATTTGGTTTCCAAGACTGATTTTCATCTACCCCAATAGACTTCCCCTGAAGAGAAGTCGAAGGCAAAAAGAATTTTCTCTCATCAAATGTGACATCCATAGAAACAAAGACCTTAGGAAGAGAAGGTGAGTAACATTTGTAGCCCTTTTGGTTAGGAGGATATCCTATGAAGACACATTTAATAAACTTGGGATCGAGCTTGGACCTTTGATGGGGAGGAACATATACTAAGACAAGATAAAGGATAAAGGAGACTGAAAATTTAGGACATTAGAAGGCATCCGATTGATGAGGTATGCTGTAGTCAAGATTGCCTCTACAAATATTTAGGGACATGCATGGTAAACACAAGAGCTTGAGCAACTTCAAGGAGATGTCTATTTTTCTTTCAGCCACCCCATTTTGTTGAGGGTGTTAGGACAAGAACTTTGATGTTGAATACCATGCTAGGTGAGATAGTCTTCAAGAACAGAATTAAAATATTCAGTACCATTGTCAGTTTGAAGAATTTGGATAAAGGTCTGGAACTGATTTTGAACCATAGCATGAAAGTTTTTAAAAGTCGATGCAGCGTCAGACTTATCCTTTAGAAGGTATACCCAACATACCCTAAAGTGATCATCTATGAAATTTATAAACCAACGAGCACTAGAGATATTTTTTTCACTGGCTGGACCCCATGTATCATTATGAATCAAGGTAAAAGGAGAAGAATCATGATGAACTCTAGGAGGATAAGAAACGCAAGAATGTTTTGCAAATTGACAAATATCACAAGAAAAAGAACTGGGATTTTTATTGATAAATAAGTTTGGAAACAACTTCTGAAGATAAACGAAAATTGGGTGTCCTAACCGACGATGCCACAACAAAACATCATTACAATCATTAGACAAACATATTGAGTGGTTCACAAAATTTTTCTCTTCACAAGGATCCTTTTCAAAATAATAGAGCCCTTCTTCCTCTCTAGCATTGCCAATCATTAGTCCCAAGTCCTGTTCTTGGAAAACACAAGTATGGATAGAAAACTTGGCAACACAATGTAATTCAGAGGTAAGTTTACTGATACAGATGAGGTTACAAGTAAGAGAGGGAACATGAAGGACTGAGTCATCAGCCCTATCTTGTAAAAGCAAATTCAAAATTCAAATTCCTATTAAAGTAAAAAATCAATCACTAATTAAAGTGGAAAGATCCTAATCCTGATTTTCTACAATACTACTTCATCTAAACAAGGATTCTACCATATTGCCAGAGATAAATTTGAATATATTAGAATTTGAACTGATAACTTGCTTTTGTTAGAAAGCTTCTTTTTTCCAATAAAAGGCCATATTTCAATAATATTAATGTATGATAGACCAATCATTTGATTTTGTCCTTAAGTTTGTATTGTTATTTTGGTCATTTAGTTCCTACCCAATTTATTAATTATTTTTTGTTGTTTTTTTAATAGCATGTAAATCCCTCTATTGTGTTTTTTCATCCCTTAGATATGGTTTAGTTTATCGGTAGGGTTTCAAATTTTTTTATGGCGTTTAACTACTTCGAATCAAAATTGAATTTGAAAAAACTGTTTTTTCCTCCTGTGCAAGCATCCTGAACTCTGTTTTTAAATTATATTCATGTCCCCCCTCCCCAAACACCTACCCACCTTTGTTTTTTTCTTCAGTTTGCTGAATGTTTGTGTTTACCTATTCTATTTGTAGAAGGTGGAAAAGATACAAATATAGAATGGCAGGAGCAGGTTTATCAGAAGGTAATCACTAAAATTGTTTGTCTTCACTTATTTATGCCTCCATTTTTTTGCAATCTCTGAATCCACCTTCTTATTGTGTACGCAATTTTTTTGAAATTTTACTAAAGTACACCCTAAAGGATACACATTGTCTATGTTGGTTATACTATGCTCCCCTCACCTAAACTGAAAACACACCATACTAAGGTCCATGTTAATCTAGTACGTAGAAGGAAGAATAAATATTAAAACGATGTCTGACGGCAATGTTTTGCTATGTAGCTCTGAAACGGGACATGAGACACGACACAACATGACACTTCAATATGTTAATTCTAAAAGAAAATAGATTTCGACACATTAGAACATGTTTTGATATTAAATAATATTTTTAATTTGTATAGTGTATATTATATTCAATATTCAATAATTTAACAAAAAAATAAAGCTAAACTTATAATACTCATCAATTTTGCAAAGAAATATAAGATATCCCAAATATTTATATTAAAATCAATAAATGGTAATCGTAATCCAACGAATCTAATAGGTGGAACTAAAAATGCAATGCAACGCAACCTTTGAACTATCTTTTGAGTCTTTGCAACCCATGTTGGAGTGTCGTGGAGTGTTGGGAAGTGTTGGACACGACACGTCAGGACTTTTGAAGTGTCGGTGCTTCATAGATGTTTTGTGGGAGAAATCGAAAATTGAGGATCACTTTATGCCACAGGTTGCACGATTTAGGTATCATAGAGATAATCCAGGTATTGTTAGGATGATTTGGGGAATGTAACACACAGAATTTCATTATAGATAAGATGGAGAAATGCTTTAGGTGTAACTAATTTGTGATTACAAAATGTCTATCAAATTCAAAGGAAAATTCTACTAGAAAGCTGTGTAAGTCCAATGGTGCTCTACAGTAGTGAATGCTTAGCCTTAGTTATAGCCCTTTGATCAATGCTCCCTTCCCCCTCCCTCTGATAATAATGAAAAGAAACCTTGTGGGAAAATCCTGAACCAAATTCCTTTTGCTAAAGTTATATTCAATATTTTTAGTCTAAGATGCACCCTATATCTGAAATAATTAGTATCTTTTTTTTTGTTTGAAGAAAAAAAATTTAGGAGGTCGATATATTGCTCCAAATTTAAGGCATGGTGCACACAATTAGTGGATGCCTCCCAGAAAGGGGTCACCATCAGGAACAGAACCTAAGACCTTTGTGTCAATGCAGCTCCGTCCTGCCAATTGAATTAACCCTCATTGGCAAAAGCATTTAAAGCTCATGAATAAAGATTTAGTTCCCAACATTATTTTCCCTTGGTTGGGTTGCTTTTGAAGTATTCATGTATCATATAGTCATTAATTGCCTGGTGTATTAGAGTTGGTATTCACGTTCTGTTATTTGCATACAAAATTAAGATGGTTTACATTAGTTTTTACATTTGTTCTTGTTTGAAATGAATAAAATCTTAATATTTACTATGATTAAGATTTTTAAGCTACTTAAACTTCTCTTTTTCTCTTTCCTACGTTCTGAAGTCATATCTTTATGTTACTATGTTTATTTCTGTTCGTGTATGTTTTATTTGGATGTGCACTATTTGTATTGTTATTTTCATTGTTTCTGTAACAATAAACGAGCTGCAGCAATCTATTTATTCCTGTAGATAATGATAAACCAAACTTGAAGCTTTCAGATGCAATGTTGTGATACTTGTTGCAGGTTCAAAGGATGAAAAGCGCATATTTCAAAAAACTCAATGTCTTTTACCAAATTATCATGAGCAAACTTCAACAGGTTGATAATTGTTTCAAGCAAATTATGATTCTAGAAAACACTGCTTTTTCACATTGTCTTTCTTATTATTACTAATCTTTTCTATTTATATTAAATTTCTCCAGGTCGAGTCTTCTCAAGAACCAAAGAAAACTGATTTGGAAAAAATAAAACAGAGTAAAAGAGCAGTAGAATATTTTTTGTCACTCTTAAGTGTTAGTAAAAGCCAGATTACAACAGATTTCAAGGAGAGACTAGACAAAGCAGAAAAGTCAATACTTTCTTTTGTACTCTCAAAGAATGATTCTTCACATCATAAAGGAACAGAGTCAGCTGATGTGCAATCCAGGCAACAGTCTGTCCCATCCCATTCTAGAGTTTCTCAAATGGAAACATTTGAAAAGGAACCATCACCACAAATATTGGGAACACAGATGTGTTTACAAGAGCCGCAAGTGGCAAAACAAAATAGCAAATCACAACAGGAGGCAAATCAATTGTCTATCATAAAAGGTATAATTCCCCTAAGTGTTGTACATTTTAAACTACCTTTTCCATGTTCTCTGCCAGAGGTTACTTGCAAACATTTTTTTTTCTAATTTGTCAATCTTAGGCCTTGGCAATACTGTACAACAGCAAACTCACAGTGCTCAAAAAGCAAATGAAGTATTTGGTGCCAGCGTCAACACACTGGGGATTTCAGCTTCACCCATGATTGAAGACTGCAGTAATTTAAATGAAATTTCTCATAAAGCTGCAGTCATTTCTGATGAGCCAAGTGCTGCAATGCAGCAATTACTTAAAGTGGTTGGTCTAAAACTTACTGTGTGCTTGTCCCTTTTTTGTTTTTAATTTGAGTCATAAAAGTTTCTTGCAGATACATAGTAAATTTCTATAATTGTGATATACTTTCAGTTGACCTCCATGTCACCTGAAGCATTGAGTACATCAGTTCGTGAAATCAAAGAGGTAGTCTCTATGAATGATGGACCACTACCAGAGATGGTACAACAACAAAATCAACAAAACCTTATCCTACAAGGTTGGGCCAGACCACCAAAGAGTTTAATTTGCCCAAAATTGGACATCAGAATTGATGCATGTTCACAAGAAAAATACCTGACTTGCAACAATTTTGTTCCAACAGGATGGAAAATGTCTCGCAGCATTAATGCAGTGGCCCTGGATACTTCTAGAATTTGTGCTAGTACACGTGACAGTTTCAACCAGTTGACTGATCCTGAGGAATCTGACTTGAATTCAGTCACAACTGGAGTAAAACGGCCTAGGATTGCAGTAATATATCTTCTTTCTAATTTTTTATTTTTTTACAATTGCAATCTACTGAGGAATATATCATTATTTTATCCAGTGAAATCTGCAATTCTACTAACTGTACTTCAGTCAACAGCTAGATTATTCATTGCTTCAATAAGAATTCATATTTGGAATAAGATTAGGTTTTTGGCTTATATCTAGCATAAACCCCATGGTTTTTTTAATGTGGTCTCACTAACAAATATGTTAAGGGATTTGACATCTTTTTTGCATTGATTTCCTTGGTCTTTGTTGTTTTCTATTTTTCATGTGTTAAGGATGATTCCTTGTCCTCCCTTCCCTTTGTATTCTTTTCCTTGACTTAAACTTGTTTATTATGAATAAAAGAAAAGAATTATTATGCTGAATAGGTTTTGTAATTGTTAGAGAAGTATATAAAATCATTGATGGGCCTTCACTTAATAACTTAAACTTTTACGTTGAAATGGTTCTTTACATAGTATCAGAACCTCGGTGTTCCGGGTTCGATCCTCACCGCCCCCATTTTCTTTGTGGAATTTCTTAATACAGGTAGTTTGGGCCTGATGTATCATCCATCTTTCAAGCCCAATGAGCTCTCTTGTGAGGGAGCGTGTTAGAGTATAATATAAACCATTTAAGAGGCCCTAAACTAGTAGCTTAAGCTATTAAGTGAAGCCCCATCAATGGTTTATATACTTCTCTAACATAATCATACTATAATTTACATCAACAATAGATCTAAATTTATGGCCTTGTTTTTAAATTACTTCTCTTTCAAGGATAAAAGGTTCTGATATTGGTCATGCCTTATGGTAAATTCACCATTGACTCAGTCAGTTGCTTAGAACTTACCATTTGGATTTTGAGTGGCGTCAACTCTCACCATTTCCCTTCTTGCACATCAAAATTTCCTGTCCTTCAAAAGCTTCCTCATGTTTTTTATGCTCCCAGGAATTTTGCTTTCTTGCTACTTCCAAGAATTTTATTGTTTCACAATATGCTTCACTGTTGTTTAAAATGCCAGTTCATTTTATGTAACCGTTCGTTGGACTTGGAATCACTTATTTTGTCCTTTTCATGTCTAGCAATTATTTCCTGATTGACTGCTACTTAATACTTTCGCATTGGTTAACTCTAGCAGGAAAATTGTGCTCTTTTAGAAGAAATAAGGGAGATAAACAAGATATTGATAGACACAGAGATAGTTATTGGTGAAAAAGACAGCATTCCAAGTGCAGCTGGAGGAGCTGCTGAACATGGTGAAGGATTAGTTGTTAAATTCCTTTTCAGTGCAGTAACTGTCAATCCGAACCTAATATCTCATTATGCTGCTGATAAAAAGGTGAATTATTTTATATTCTGTTTTGAACTATGCATATTGATTTTTTTGGCCTTTCCTTTCATTGACTATGTGTATTGGTCATGCAGTCAATAATCAAACCATTATGGTTGCTTGTTCCCACAAGTTATCCATTTTCCTCACCTGTTATTTTAAACCAAATGCCGTTGGAAATCAGGTTAGAGATTAAGCTTCTGTTCTCTTTCCTTTATACTTTTATACACGTATCCAATTAATTTTCAGTTGTTATCAAGTTATGTTCATAGACTATGCATGGAAGCTGGTCAGAAGAGACAGTGAGCGAATTATTTATTTCCTACTAGACATCCATAAAACTCAAGATCGTAAAGTTTTCACTTCATTGAAAGCATAATTCTCTGTACTGATTTTGATTATTATTATTTTTATTTTTATTTTTTTGTCTAGTTTCTAAGCCTTGCACTCATTAGCATTAAAATTATTGCAATTTTCTACAGGCATTATCATCTTCTAGTAGATAACAATAAAATTGAGGAGTATTCCTACACTATATTGAAATCAAAATCCTTTAAATGATTTTTGCATCTCTCTTCAAAGCCTTGCATTCATCTGCATAACTGGATTAGACTTTTCTACAATAGTAAATTATTTTCTCCTTCCCTGCATTTTATCGTTATTACTTTGAAATTCACACAAGCCTATCCTGAGGAGGTTTTTAAAAATTTATAAAGTTCAAAGGACGTTGGTGTAGGTCTCTAAGGGAGATTTGAAATGATTTTATCTGTAGTGTAAATTTTAATCTTTCACAAGTATTTGCATTTCAAAAGAGAGCAGCAGGTCAGTCTAATAAGGCAAAATGAAAGGATTGTGTTGTAAATACGGAAGATTTATTATTATTTGTTTCTTTTATTAGTCAAATTATATAATTATTTGTTTCCTTTTCTAGCTGGATTATGTTTTGTTATTTCTTAGGATTTGGATTCATTCGGGTGTTAAAACAGGTTATGACACGCAAGTCGACTCTTTACGAAGTAGTGTCTTGTTCGTGTTAGGAAAAATGACCCCCAAAAAATTCGTGTTGTGTAACGTGTCAAATTTGTGTCAACTCGTATTTTTTTAATTATTTTTTACTGTTATTTTTTTAATTTTTTTAATTTTGACCTATTTTTTTAATTTTTTTTGGTCAATTACATTTTGACCTTTATTTTGCGTGTTATTCGTGTCGTGTCGCTCGCTGCTCATTTTAGTTGGGATTTGAAATAATTTGATGTGAAAAATGCCTTCCTCAATGGCGAATTAAAAGAGGAGGTTTACATGGAGATCGCATTTTACATGGAGATCGCACCAGTATTTAACTCTACAAACAGAGATAATAAAGTTTACAGTTTAAAGAAGGCGTTGTATAGCTTAAAGCAATCCACGCGTACTTGGTTTGGAAGATTACCAAAGTTATGCCTTCATGGGATACAAGCAAAGTCAAGGGGATCATACACTTTTCTTTGAACATTCTCAGGAAGGTAAGACCAGCATCCTTCTAGTTTATGTTGATAACATTATTATAATAGGGGATGATATAGGTGAGAAATGTGCTTTGCAAAAAAGACTGACGGCTGAATTTGAAGTTAAAGATCTTGGAAAACTGAGATATTTTCTTGGGATAGAAGTTGCTCATTCAAAGCAAGAGATATTTATTTGTCAACGGAAGTATGTTCTTGACCTCCTTATAGTCAATTCATGCATGATCCGAGGGAGAAACACTTGCGAGCTGTGGACAGGATTCTTCACTATCTAAAAGGAACACCATACAGAGGATTATTGTTCCAGAGAGGAGGAAACTTATCCTTAGAAGTTTATACAGACGCCAATTATGTTGGATCCGTGACTGATCGATGGTCTACTATGGGCTATTGTATGTTTCTTTGTGGAAATCTAATAACACAGAGAAGTAAAAAGCAAAATGTGGTTGCTAGATCAAGTGCAGAAGTAGAAGCAGAATTTTGAGCCATGGCTCAAGGTATCTGTGAGTTATTGTGGCTGAAAATCATTCTCGATGATCTCAAGGTGAGATATGAAGGATCTTTGTAATAACAAGTCAGCTATCTCTATAGCCCACCATCTAGTTCAACACGATTGAACCAAACATATTGAGATTGATCTCTACTTCATTAAAGAGAAACTGGACAGTGGACTGATCACTACTCTATATATTCCTTCTGATTGTCAATTGGCTGATGTCTTAACTAAGGGTCTTCCTAATGATAGATTTCAAGAACTTACTAACAAGCTGGGAATGATTAATATCCATTCCTCAGTTTGAGGGGGAGTATTGTAAATATTAGAATTATTTGATTATTATTTTGTATCATTATTTGTAATAGTTAGAATACTCTAGAAGCTTATTTGGGCTTAGCCCATTAGGTCTTTTTAGTCTATTTAATTAGAGAATTATTGTACAATTATACACACAATTTAATAATATACAATCCTTTCCTTTCAATTTGATGTGTGTGATCTATCAGTTACGGCTATGGTACGAATACCAATAGTAGGATTATAAGAAATAAAAAGGTCAGTGCAGCAAGTTATATGATCAGTAGCACCAGAATCCATAATCCATGAAGTTTTGAAATCAGTGCAAGAAGCAATAAAAGAATGAGTGCACGAGTTCTTACCAGTCATAGCCAAAGTACCAGTACCAGAGAGCTTATTGAGAGATTCAAATACGAACTTAAGTCGTTCCAATTCCTCACAACGAATAATAGTAAACTCACCAGGCATCTGTGAGGTCTCATTTACAGGAGGAATGTATGAGGGTCCTAAAAAGGATTGTCCACATGAAGTTGTCTTACCAAGCTTCTCCAGAACCTGTTACCTTCCACGAAGACAGTAGCAAACCTCTTTTGTTTGACCTGGTCTTTTACAATAGTTGCACCAATGCCCCTCTTTGCTGGGCTTAGAAGAGGAGGACCCGTGACGTGGCTTTGCCGAGATCATAGCAAACCCATCAGTGGGCTTAGAATCAGAAGGAGATGGAGTAGTGGCTTTAGATGAGAGCATGACAGATCCTTCGAACAACTTGGTATCCATTATGACAGCCCTGCGACTTTCTTCACCTCTAACAGTGTGAAAAACTTCAGGAAGGGAAGGTAATTTTTCTTTACCAAGAATTTGAACCTTAATAGGTCATATTATGAGTTGAGGCCACAAAGAAAGTCAAAGATCTGACTTTTTTCAAAGGAGGTGGCCAGAGTGGCTGCATCCTTACTATATTCATTCCATCTTCAAACTCTGGTACTGATTAAGCTCAATCCACAATCCATTCAGAATGCCGTAATACTTTGTTATGGAAAAAGAGCCTTGCTTGGTAGAAAAAATCCTATTCCTCAGATCATAGCTGGTGGCGGCATCTTGCTTCATTGAATTAGTTTGCCTAAGAACATCACAGATCTCAAGAGCAGTAGGTAAGAACATGCAATATTGACTAAACTCAGGAGTCATAGAGTTCCATAGCCATGTCATAATGAAGGAGTCTTCATAATCCCAGTCAGCTAATTTTGGATCTATTTTGGCAGGAACAGGTCCTTCAAAATGAGCAACCTTACGACGCCCTTGGTACGCACAAGCTAGGACCATTGTAGATAATTTTTTCCAGTAGGACGGTAATTTTGATGGAGAGCAGGAAGATCTTTTGGAGAAAGAATAGCCGAGCGTGTAACAGATGGTTAACCGGTTGGTGTGTCTACAGATGGTTGACTGGTTAGAGTGTCTTCAACATCTGACATAACACTTGCTAAGAATTAAGACGATTGGAATCGTGAAATGGCTTCTTCTTTTTTTTTTAAAGCGAACAAGCAAATGATGTTGGATAAACAAACAACCACAGATCTAGGATGAGCAAGAAGAGGTGAGCAGAACAGAAGTGGTCTGAGTCAAAATGCCGCCGCCATGCGCCTGTGAAGTTGTCGACGCGTGGTCTTCGCGAGCAGAGGGAATAGTGGCACGTGAGAGCGCGTGCTAGGTCTGTCGGAGCAGGGCTTTTCATGGCGAGGTCGTCCGGCGAGCGCGAACATGTTTGTGGCTGGTCAGAGTCAAAAAGTCGCTGGAACAATGCTATTTTTCGTCGGAACAGTGTTGTCTGGTCATTTTGGAGCTGTTTTAGTCGTCCGATGAAAAAGAAACTTTCATAGAATGATAGATGTATGAAAATTGAGTGAAACAGGAGTCTTCACATTGCAAAAGGTCTTGGAAAAAAAATTTGGTGGTGGCGAGAGGCAAATAGGGTTCCTCTTTTAAAAAGAGGCGATTTGCGGAAGCAGAGCCTTCAGAATCGAGAGCTCTGATACTAAATAGAAAGAAAGATATGTATATTATTGAATTATTTCAATAATTGTACAAGAATTTTGTATTTAAAAAGACCTAGTGGGCTACGCCGAAATAAGCTTCTAGAGTATTCTAAATAGTGATACAAAATAATGACCAGATAAATAATTCTAATATTTACAATACTTACTAAACCCTTTTAGTAAGCCCAACTTTTTCAATGATCACAAAGTATTAGCAATACTTTGTGGCCCAGAGCTAAATAGATGATCAAGTGATCAACCTTTTCTATAGGGTTACTGTGCAAATCCATCCCTTCATCATGTTATCCATCTTCCGATCAAGAGCAAGGATACCATATCAACTTTCGAGTGACCGGAAGTTAGCTTTTTCAGAACCAAGGGTCTTCTTCCATAAACTCTAAAGGCGGATCCGTGAACTCCTTCATGATTTATTTATTGTGCACAGATTCCCGAGTCTTATGGAAGGCATCTGAGTCCCACCGGTTTCTTGTGGATAACTTATCTCTTATAGAGATGATGAATCCTATCGGCTTATCCATATATACTCATGCCTAAGAGAACATTGTGCTCCCCATGTTTAAGACGGATAGAGTTATATAATCAAATTATGAATCTTAGACACAGTAATAGATGACAACCTCAAGTTTAAGGATGATCCGCACTACCATACAATGAGAGACTATATCCAATGATACATGATGTAAAGATTCCTTGTGCAGTCTCTTGACGAGTCAGTTCAGTGCAATTTGTTCCACTAATAAATTCTCCCACAACATCGATTAGCGCATCTCCATGCCTGCATCCATGAGGTCCGAACCATATCACATGTAAGTAGCCTAATATCATACTAGTTTGATCGATTCAACCAATGCCTTTTCTCAGTGACACTCGACTAGGAACAATATTAATTTAGTGAATAATCAAGTAATGTACTCGAGTCCTCTTGATCACAATCTCATCATAGATTCTCGAGATATACCTTGTTTATTGTGATCTTGCAAAACAACATCGTGTGCCCTTTCCTTCAAGTTCAATATAAAGTATTGCATCCTTTACTTTTATTCATTTTGATGTTTGAGGCCCTTCTAAGTGCACAGTATTTTAGGTGCTAAGTCTTTTGTTTCCTTTGTTGATAATTGTTCAAGGGTGTCGTGGATATTCTTGATGAAAAACAAGTCAGAAGTAGCAAAATTATTTATTCAGTTTTGTCACATGATCGACACATAGTTTGGTAACAGTGTTAAGCGATTAAGATATGATAATGGTACGGAGTATGTCAACTGGCGCCTGTCACAATTCATTTCAGACAATTGTATGATTCAGTAGCTCACATGTGTTGACACCCCTCAACAAAACGGAGTTGCTAAAAAAAATCACCACTTGTGTGAAGTAACCAGAGCATTCTTTTTTCAAACATTTGTTCCCTTCTCTTATTGGAGAGAAGCCATGTTAATTGCAGCCTATTTGATTAATTGCTTACCTTCTTCGGTGATTGGCCTATGTCAGTCCTATTCATTTCATGATATCCATATTTCTTTTTTTTTTTCCAATTATGCAGAGCCTTCAATTTTGAGTCTTTGAGCATGTGTTGCATTTCACCAATGCCTTGCACTATGAACGAACTTGGAGTTCATGATCCAAAAGAAGACTCCCATGAACAAAAGCACAACTAATATGCCAGCTTGTGAAGCTCGAATAATGGGATGACATGAGCATGATTGAGCACTTCAACACACATAAAGGTTTGTGAACAATTTGTCTAAAGCTGAAACGAAGATTGATGATGAGCTCCATGATCTTCTACTCCTCATCTCACTTTCAGAAAGCTGAGATACTTTGATAGTAACTTTGAGAAACTCGGCTCTTGAGGGAAGACTAACAATGGACTTTGTGATTGGCAGCCTCCTGGATGAAAAGTCAAGGAGAAGAGAAAGAGGCATAACCAACTTGTTTGATGCAAACGTTGCTGAGAAGTGAGGTAGGTCCGACATCCAGGGTCGAATTAAAAGTCGAGGTCGTGACAAGTCCAGAGGCTAGTCAAGGACAAAGTCCAAGCTGACTTACTTATAAGCCTGGACATAAGAAATTTGTCTGTCGAACTTTAAAGAAAAACCAAAAGAACAACAATGTGAAGTCTTATCAAATAGAGCAGAAGAAGAAAGAAGATTAGAGCACCACTGCGGTGGTTGGAAACACTAATGTCGAGGTTTTCCTCCTTGGAGAGGATAATTTTATAAGTTACTTACGATGATTGTTCTTGGATTGTTGATTCAGGTGCCTCCTTCCACGTTACTCCATACAAATGTTTCTTCTCTTCTTATAGAAGTGGTGACTTTGGTGTTGTAAAGATGAGAAATCAAGTCACTGGAAAATTGTTGGGGTTGGAGACGTGACCCTGTCTATATATGCCGAATGTTGGCTTGTGCTGAAGGAGGTCAAGCATGTGTCAGACATGTGCCTCAACCTAATCTCAATGGGAAAGCTAGATTACACTAGGTTAGCAAACGTTTTTGGTGCAGGAAGATGGAAGTTTGCCAAAGGTAGCATGGTAGTTGTTCGCGGTAAAAAGGAAGGATCCTTGCAAGTGATGAAAGGGAAAATGAATTGTGGAGAAGCCAAAGCTATTAGTGATGGACTTAGCATAGAGAAGTGACACAAATGACCCGTGTTGCTTCTGCACTGCTGATTGAGGGATGTCATCCCAACAATTAGTTTCTGTTAAGAACCAATTCAACCCAAAAGCTTGAGCTGTTGAGTGAGGGCCTTTTTAATGATTTATATTATTCTTTAACACGTTTCCTCACACAAGAGCCCATTGGGCTTGAAGGGTGGATGATGCATTAGGCCCAGCCTACCTGTGCTAAGAAATTCCACAAAGAAAATGAGGGGCAGTGAGGATCGAATCCGGAACACCGAGGCTCTGATACTATGTTAAGAACCAATTCAACCAAAAAGCTTAAGCTATTGGTGACGGCCTCTTTAATGATTTATATTATTCTTTAACAGTTTCTTTATAAATATTGTAACTTTGTACCTATTTTTACACAATAGCAATAATATTTAAAATTTCATTTCAAGTATATTTTAATGTGAATTTCAACTCATTATTTCTAATAATATATTTTGAACTTTGTATAGTTACTTTGTCAATTGTTGGAATGGTATTTTAAATTATTTAAGGTGAAGTTATAAAGGATAAATGCCTTTGGGTTTTTAGAATTTGGGAATCTCCACTCTTGTAATCAGATGGCAGTAGTCCTGTTTGGGACCATGAAGAGTTCGGACCGAGGTCTAATTTGCTTAGTTTTAAATTCTATGAAGTATGGCATATTGTATTTGTATGAAACTTCAAAAACATCAAAGAATTATGTAGTATGGGCACCTTTGATACATGGACCTGAAGTTCTTATAAGGATAAAGATTAATGTGGTCACAGCGCATTTGAAATATATCACACTAAATTACATTGTAGAATGTGAAAATTCAGTTAATATCATAAAATATGAAACAGAAATCAAGCACATGCACCGATGATAAATGATACAGTTAGGGCAAGATAAGATTGTTCCATAGGTAAAAAGTACAAAAAAAAATTATTGGATTGGAAATATTTGAACTGTCTAAACTGACTGATGTTATGTCTCAGTTATGAGCATAGCTTCTACAACTGAAAATATATTGATTTTCCAATTTGTTTCGTAAGTTAATTATTTTCTTTTTCATGCTGTTGATATTCAGACAGAATTTTTTTTGGTCCTGAATGATAGGCTTTTTGGAGACAAGATTGAGTGTAAGAACAATAGATATGTGGATCCTATACATATTTAGTTTCATATACAAGACTATAGATCCTACTTGTGATTAGTATTTTTTATATTTTCTTGACTACAATTGCTTTTCGTCTTTGCAATTCAATATTGATTTGCTAATAATTCTGAATAACAATACACAAGGCTTCCTTCCTGAAATTGGCAGATATACTTCATAGATGAAGGACTATTTGTTATAGTGTAGCGCTGTCAAATCTTCATTTTGGTGCTTTTATTTAAAGTTCAAAATCACCCATGTTCCCATTTTTTCTTTAATTATGACAGTGAGGAGCTGAGTGATCTCTCACTGAAAGCAATATCAAAGCTGAGAGTATGTCTCCGAAACTTGAATGAACCCTTGTCACTTGGGGATATAGCAATGTCATGGGAACGTTGTGCCAGAGAAGCAATCTGTGAGTATGCGGAAGCCAATGGTGGAGGAACCTTTAGCTCAAAATATGGAGGGTGGGAGATATGTCAAGATTCTGGTTAAAGGAATTTGTATTTGTGCTGTTTGTTCATATAGGAAAAGCCAATCGTGTACATTTTGAGCCAGCATGCCTTGAGTAGGCAAATATATAGTAGTACTGCAGAAGGGTATGAAAATTTATAGATAGTTCAGCCTAGTAAATCTGATGAAAACTTTAAATTTCTAGTTGAATAAATCAGTGTTCATATTAATGCTTGTTCATGGAAACAATATGATACTATATACATACAAAACTTCAAAGAAAGTATACAAAACCATCTTCCTTGATGATAATGATTATTGCCTTGTTAGAACTTAATACAATGGGGATCACACGTGAGAGAAGCAATGACAATTCCATCTTGCTGATAGCTCTCTCCTTTTAAGGATGACCTTTACCATAGGGGCGACTCCATGTGACGGACAACCCTTTCCTTAATTTCTCAGTAAAATCATATAGTAACATCTTATCGGGGATGACTCCATTTAACATATAGATATCTCCTCCTGAAATAAATATCCATATACAGAACTAGGTACACCTAGATCGTTACCCCCGCTAATAGTTACATGATTCTAACATGGATCACAAAAAACATATATAAAATTTAGGTAATTAACTTTTGATTCAAATCAATTTATTTCCAATGATAAGTAAAATTCTCAAATCTCAATATTTTAAATTAAATATTTCATATTATAATTATATCCAACATTTTCAAAATAATTATAAAACCACAAATCATAAATATGATGCTATTATATAAAATTACACATCAAGTAAATTTGAAATGCATAAATTTAACCAATCACATTATAAAATATTTGTTTCCCATGCACATATTATTAAACAATAATGATACAATAAAACTTGAAAGATAATAATAGCAATAAAATATGTCGTCATAATTATTATCCACTTATAGCTCTCAAGAACCAATTAAAGCACTTCTAATGACTCAGGATAACCAAATGAGCTAGAGTTTAGTCAAATCTTAGCACCAACAAATATTATTTTATTTTATTTTTTGGTAAAGCACCAACAAATATTTTAGTAATACCTTAGACATTATTCAAGGATAACTAACAATAGATAATCGAGAGATAAATAAAAGCCCTAAATTTATGCTCAAAGCTCACAAATTCTTTTACCCAAAGTAAATCTATACAAAAATATAGATTTCCATAAGGTTTTGGAGAATGAATTTACTTCAAAGAGTCCAAAAAGCTGAATTTTAAGAAGGGAGTTGTATCCCTATATCCTTGGAGCACTTTCCTTAACACCCAAAATCTACTTCCGAGATATGAGTAAAAAAATGGTAGGACTTTAATGTTTCACTAGAGCTTCAAAATGATACTTGAAGTTTAATGGAAGAGTAAATAAATGTAAAAGAAAAGAAAATAAGAATAAATAAAGGAAGTTTATGATGGTTAAAATACAAGGTTCGTAAACTGTCCCTATCATATATTTTTCCAAATCTCAATGATTTTCCAAACTATGATGAACAGTGAAACCACCAAGAAAGACCCTATGATAACCACAAGCAATGCAATGTGAACAAGTCTAGGAAGTAACTTCTAGCTGTGAGGAGTCTTTCATAAGCAAGATTATCATCCTATCAGCATCTGCTGTAATTTATTCAATGTATTTCTTGACATCAGACCCCTATCCACCAAATGATCCCAGAAGATTTGTGACACTTTGTTTTCACTCGCATTAGGAGCAAGAAAGCATTTATAGATTCTGACTGTGATCATCAACCTCTTTCTAGCCATCTCTTGTAACATATCTGAGGCCGCACTTGCCTTCCCTGCTTTCCAGTAAGCATAAGCGAGACTGGTGTAGATAATACTGTCACCTGACACACCCTTCCCTTCCATATGATTGAATAACTTTTCAGCATATTCAATCCTTTCTATCTTGCATAACTTTCTTATCAATGCCCTGTATACCGAAACATCAAGACAAATACCTTTACTCAGAAACTCATCTGGCAGTGCTAAAATTGCATCCATGTTGTCTTTCTTGCAGTAGCCATCAACAATCCATGAGTATGTGCAATAACTGGGGGAAAACCCAGCATCAAGCATGCTAAACAATAGCTCCTTGGCACTTTCCAGCTCACTCATCTTGCAGAACCCATGAATCAGTGCCTTATATGTAAATGGATCAGGCTTTAGTCCAGCTTCTAACATCTTATTCTTAAATTTCAAAGCAGATTTCAAATCCCCTATCTTGCAGTAAGTATTTATCAGGGTGTTACACGTGATATTGTCAGCTTGAACTTTTCTTTCACTCATCTCATTCAAAAGCTTGTTTGCATCTTTTATCCTGCCATCTTGACACAGCTTGCGCAAAATTGAATTATAAGTAACAACTCCAGGGTACAATCCCTTAGCCTCCAACAGCTCACGCATTTTCAAAGCTTGCTCCAGTTCATTCGTTTTACAATAACCATCAATCAACGTAGTATATGTCACATGATTGGGAGCTGCACTTTTAATTTCACTAAACATCCTCGTAGCTTCTCTCATCCTACCTTCTCTGCAAAATCCATAAATAAGAGAATTATAACTAACTATATCAAGATTTATCCCCTCTTTTACCATTTTGTCCTGGATGGACAAAGCCTCATAGTGCATACCTTTCTTGCAATATAATGATATCAAAGTATTATATGTAAAAATGTCAGGAAGCGCACCCTTTGCTTCCATCTCATTTAGTAACTGTTCTGCCCTCTCCACATCTCCTGATTTGGAACAAGCATGGATTAAACAATTGTAAATGTAGATATTGAGAACAACCCCACCTTGAACCATTCTCTTATGAATCTTCCAAACCATATTAGTAATCCCATCATTCACCAAACAATTCAAAAGCACAGTACAAGCATGCAAACGGGGCTTGACTTTATATAACAACCTCATCTGTTCAAAAACTTGAATTGCATCCTGGGTCATCTTTGACTTTGCATAATGTATCACAAGCCAGCTCAAAACATGTGAATTAACTTCTGGGTCGTCATGAATCCTCACCAAAGAGCTCAAAACCGAAGGAGATGAAAGAAAATCCTTGTGGGCAATTTTGTCAAGCATCTGTTGTGCAGTTTTGAAATGTTTGTGTTTGGTGAGTATGTGAATCATGGTCCATGAACATTGCAAGGAGTGGCTAAAATGTGGGATGGAGGCAACCCATTTGAAGAATGGAAAGGAATAAGAGGGCCCATAACCATAAAGTGAGAGATGCAAAAGCACATTGTGTATGGTAGTGGAAGTGAGAGCAGAGCCATTCTTTGCATTCAACAAATTGCCCCAATGACCCTTGACAACAATTTCGCACACTCTCAATAAATTGGCTCTTGTCAACAAAAACCATGTCTATTACTATCATCCATATGCTCTACCATTTGACCAAGAGAACTTGATGGATATACCAATGAGTATAATAGTTTTTAGGTGCTATGATTGGTTTTGCGAGAAACACTTTTTCCAACTTTTAAATAGGTTATCATAGGTTTCTAATGGATTTTTTTTTTTTGGTACATAATTTCTAATGGATTCTTAATTTGTCATGAATTATGATTGTAAATTTTTTCAATTAGTTAGTGTTAATTGATTGATGTTGTGTAGACTCCGTTAATGAAATTTTACACGTTATTTAATGTTTTTTATATGATTTAATAACTTAATTGTGAGCTTTTATAATTAGTGAGACTAAATAAAAAATTTCAGTTATGAAGAATGTTGTGTAACCTAATCAGGCATAAGAGGGTAGGATTAGGCCTGATAAGGGGTTAATGTATTCACCACTGCAATTATCAAGAATTAATATATTATTTTAATATTAGTATATTAAAATAAAAAAAATTCAATATATAATTTTTATAATATTGGTGACTTTTATTTTTATAAATATTAATATATTTTTTGGACACACTGATCAACATATTTCTATAAAAAATAGTATCATTTGATATATTTGGAAGAATTATAAAAATTCATTATTAAAAGATATTTTTAACAAAAATATTTATTTTTAACTTATCTAGTAGATGATATTATCTTATATAATATCATGTCAAACGCTGATTAGTATTAAAATTTAATCAGATCTTATACAATCAAGTTTTATACTATCAGCTCATATGCAATCAGGCCTTATCCTATAAAATCATTTCTTATTGTGTCAATTATATATGACAGGTGGTGACTTCAGTAGAAGTGATGCAAATAAAGAAAACTCATGATCATATTACATATAAAAATAAACATAGGTAGTCCATTATTTCAAACTCTGGAACGGATTGTGTACGCTGAAGCTTCTTCGCACTCGAAATAGGTTCTAGCACCACTATAAAGCATCAATCATATTTTTAGGAGAAAATTGTAGCAATAATTCCTTTTTAGATCTTGTATTGTTTCAATTATTCTTTCCTCTCCCACGGCAAAAAAGAGACTTTAGTCATTCACGCTTGCCAACAGTGGCTAGGAGCATGCATGAAAATGCTCTGATGAGCGATAACCAAAGACCCCACAGTAACAAGTAATAAATCATCCAGATAAACTCAACAAAATGCTAACCTTAAGTCCTCGTTTGTTCAGGTGAAATTTTTTGAATACTAGAGAAATGTAATTACTAGAAAAATAGAAGAAATGGTTGGAAAGTGAGTTTGGTAGGAAAGTTAAAAAAAAGTTGTTTGGTTGAGAAAAATATTACCAGGCAAATTGATTAAAGTTATTGAAGTCTATGTTTGATAGGATAAAATATTGATGGGTAAATAATATAAAATTACAAAACTAACCCCTTAATAATTATAAAGTCACTGTATGCAACCTTCAACATTCTTGTTCTGATTTATCAGAAGGGTAGTTCAGTCATATATGAAGTTCTGTGTATCCCATTTCCCAGGTTATCACACAATACTACATTGAAAGTGGAAATCTTCGTCTGTGTTTCTCGTTTTTTTTTTTTTTTTGCAAAGAATTGTGAAAGCTAGGCAACTCACTTTGCTGGGGAAGTTTTAAAACAAGTTGAACCAAATGTTGGCGAAGGTGGCGTTTGGTAGGCGACTTTTGTAAGAATGCATGGGAAAGCTCAGAGGGAGAAATAGTTATACCACGTTTGGTACGCGAGATCTCTAAATTTTCTTGGGCTACACTTCGTTCCGGGAAACTGGTTTGAGTGTTAAATTTCCTTGAAGTTGCGATGGAAGATTGCCAATTAAAATATGGAATTGTTGGCTTCTCCTGGAAAAGGAAACTGAAGCGGGAAAAAGAAGACTAAAATGACCCTATGGAATTGTACGGTGCGTAGATATGAATTAGGCAAAAGGCAAAAATGTACCACAAATAGGAAAGTTGTGTGTCGACCGTGAAGAAGAGGGAAGAGGTGGTAAAATATCTAGACTACCGTTGAACAAACAGCAGCCTACCCGCATCTGCAACATCAAAAGGTATATTGGTAGAATCTTGAAATAATGGTTGCATGCATGAAGAAGATCTTTCGAGGGTAGAAGCCGTTTGTGCTGTCTTTTTTTTTTTTTTTTTTTGTAAATTCGTTTGTGCTGTCTTTGTGTGTGTGTGTGTGTGTGTTAGTTGACATAGTTACAAAATGGACTCTCCCACGGCTAAGCAGCATCCATTCCACGGATGGCAGTATGTCACATTTTTTGGAAAAACCATGGATGTATATAGGCTTATGTGGTGTGCTTTTTTGGGTTGTACAGGACTGCACATGCTTTGATAGCATATATCCTAATTCTGTATATAGGCTTATGTGTTAGTTTCTTCTTCTTCAAAGAAGAAACTTGGATGGGTGTCGTTGAAGGCGGGAACTGCGCTAGGAGTGATTTTTGCTCAGTATGCCAATTCATACAAGAACTGGAAACACACATTTTTCTGGATTGAACCCACGTTGGGCGAGGGAGAGCTTCCTTTTTTCGTAGATTCAGCGAGCGGAGAGTGTCGGTTTCCCTTGTACTGGACTAAGGCCCACTACGAGATACCCGCTAGTCAGTACTCTTCTACTTTTGGGAGTTTGTCTCCTGAGGAGGTGAAGGTGGTTGATTGGTTTGTGGAAGTGAAAGGGTTTTTGGACCGGTGGCCTATGAAGCAGGTGTTGTGTCATGGAGGTGTGAAGGCGTTCTGAGTTTTACTTTCTTTTGCAATGATCTAGATTTTCTTTACTTGTTTGTAATTGTTTAGTGCTAACTTTTTTCTCTGTTTGCAGTTGGAAGCATGGCGCCTGATCGTTGAAGCTTGCTCGCGACGCGGCTGCTAAGTTGAGAGCCAAGCAGGGGGTGGCACCTCAGCTTCAAACCATCCTTCCTTCTAAAAGGAAAGGCATGGACAAGGGGAACGACAAAGAGGTGAGACCAAAAAAGAAGAAAGTTCGTTCTGCTGCTGACATCCCAGCTGGTGAACTTGAGAAACGGGCTAATCGCCCCATCATTAAAGAATCCATTGGCGTGACTGGCCATTCTTCTGCCATTGAATCAACATTTGGGTCTGGATTACGAGGTGCGACAACAAGCTTGACTCCTCCCAGATCTTTCCAGGCAAGACGCACTGAGCCTTCTGAGGATGGTCTGACTCAGGACGGCGCTCCTGAAAGTGACCAGGCAATTTGTTGGGAAAAACTCGGTTCCCTTAGATCGGCTCAAGGGCCTTTGTGCGGAAGTCAATCAACAAGATCCTGATCTCGGATCTCGACAATACCTCGGCCTGAACTTTACCAGGTCAGGCAGCGCAGCGGAAAAATCAAAATGAAAACAGGAGAGAGAGAAGAAGAACACAACCAGATTTAACGTGGGAAAACCTTCTCCAATGAAGAAGTAAAAATCCACGGGACCTAGTCCAGATCAGAAATCCACTATGAAAATAATGGTTACAAATAATCAAATACACCAATGTGGTGGTTAACTCAACCTCTCCAACAATGGTGATAATCAAACTACCCTAGAGATGTTTCACTCAAACTCTCTCTCTAGAGATCTTTCAAATGCAAAGCATAAAGCCTTGCTCAAACAATCAAATAATTCTCTCAAATTTGTTCTCTCAAATCTGACCTAGCCTCCACCCTCAACTAATGAGTATATATAGAGGAGGTGGAAATTAGGGTTAGGGTTTTTAGGAAACCCCTCAAATGGGCTTGGGCTTAGCATTGAAGGAGGAAGCCCAACAAATCTCCCCCTCCGACTTCAATGCGTCGGCTTCAGTATCAACCCGGCTCCTTCACAGCAGTCTTCAAATTTTCTTGCTGGAACCGGCTTTGTCATCATGTCGGACCAATTTTGGTCAGTGTGCGACTTGACGAGTTCGAGCTCTCCACCTTCCACCACATCCCAGATCCAGTGATACCTCACATCAATATGCTTAGTGCGGGAGTGATAGGTCGAATTCTTCGCAAGATGAATTGCGCTTTGATTGTCACAACCCAGCTCGTACTTGTCTTGATCATGGCCGAGTTCCATGAGGAACTTCTTCATCCACAGCATCTCTTTGCTTGCCTCAGTAGCGGCAATATACTCAGCCTCAATTGTCGATAGTGCAACACATTTCTGAAGTCTTGATTGCCAAGAGACAGCTCCTCCGGCAAATCTCATCAAATATCCTGTAGTCGACTTCCTCGAGTCGGCGTCTCCCCCTAAATCAGAATCCGAGTAGCCTTGCAACTCGGCTTTGCCTTCTCCAAATTGGAGACATAAGTCTGTCGTACCTCGGAGGTACTTGAAGATCCACTTCACTGCTTCCCAGTGCTCTTTGCCGGGGTTTGGCAAATACCGGCTTACCATTCCAACAACATACGCCAAGTCGGGTCTAGTGCAAACCATTGCATACATCAAGCTTCCGACGGCGGATTGGTACGGGACCTTCATCATCTCATCTTTGTCTTCATCAGATCTCGGACATTGCTTTTGGTTCAGCTTTATGTGTCCGGCTAGGGGGGTGCTCACTGTTTTGGCTTTGTCCATGCTGAATCTCTTCAAAATCTTCTCAATATATTTCTCTTGACTCAGCCACAGTAGCTTCTTCTGTCTATCTCGGATAATCTTTATTCTGAGAATCTGCTTTGCAGGGCCGAGGTCCTTCATTGCGAAGGACGAGCTCAACGCCTTCTTCAGGGCGGCTATCCTCGATTTATCTTTCCCTACAATAAGCATGTCGTCAACATATAACAACAAAATCAAAAAATCTCCGGCCTCATACCTCTTCACAAATACGCAGTGGTCGGCATCTGTCTTTTCAAACTTATGATCAGTCATGAATGATTCAAACTTCTTGTACCACTGCCGAGGTGCTTGCTTCAAGTCATAGAGGCTCTTCTTCAACCGACATACCAAGTCTTCTTGGTCTGGAGCTTGGAATCCTTCAGGTTGCTCCATATATATTTCTTCTTCTAAATCTC